TATATATATATATATATTTCCGGAAAAATTCAGGTCGTGAATGCGTAGCTGTTACGATATTTTCTGATGAGGAATATTTGGTTTCAAAAAATCGGAAAAGTAATGTTGACTATGTGCAGTTTTGGTTGTATGACAATAAATCGCAGAGGTATAATTGCGTTACTCTAACTTACTAGCAAAAGGACGATATCATAATCGGAAGATCTTATTCTGATTTCTTTTTCTTTTCTTTAAATTATAATAAATTCAGTCCTTAACTTTTCCAGGACCTCTGCTTCTTTGTGGTTTCTTCTGGAAGTGAACTGTAGCACAGTACTTTGCACAGCTTGGTGCCCATCGCTGCGAAATTCTGTTAAACAAGATAGCAAGTTGTCAAACTTTGTTGGTATTCTGGCAGTCGGTGGTATAGGTGGTCCAATTTCGCTTTATGGGTTAGTGAATTTGCTTTGTCGCTATCATAATTATTTCTCTATGTTTATGCAGATGAAATATGAGGATTTTAATGTTATTTTAATACGAATTGTGCTCGATTCCAATTCTAGTTCAATTTCTGTCCAAGTTTAATTTCTGTCAAAGTTATACAGAATTTTCGTTTAAGCTAGATACAAAAACTTTTTGGGACAAGGAAACTGAGGAAAATGTTATCAGTAAGAAGAAAACGTAGATCGCAAGCTTAATTATGTAAGTAATACAACAATTTTAATTCAGGAATTCCACTTACAAATCATTCATTATATCTGAATATTTAGAGATTGGGAAAAAAAAACATTTCAAAAGACTAATATGTAGTTATATTCAATTATGAAATTTAGATTTGGCTGATGAATTTTAGGATACGTAGTGATCTGCCGATTCCTTCAACCAGTGATAATGACCGTTTGGTATACCGTTGCTGTGAGCCCGATTTGGTTCTTCGTTGTTCTGAATGCTGTAATAATGTACCAACTATTTCAATAGCATGGAGGGAAAAAGGAGGTTCGAGCAAATTGGCAGCTGTTGTTGCATCAGGTACGAGTTGTGCAATATTTTGCACCTTTGTATGCTTTAAATTTGAGGCAACTTTTAGATTTGATAGCATAACATAACAATACTATGGGGAAATTGAGAGAAATCAAGTTTTTATTAAAATCTCTTATCATAGCATAATGATTTGACGTAGTATTGTTGTGATTAGCATTCAGATGAATATTTCTTACCGAAACTTTCATTCATTATTCTTACGAAGTAGAAACTTTTTTTGCATCATTTAATTTTGGTTCATTTTGGCTTTTATCGTTGATAAATATAACAGGCAAAGGATTGTAATAAAAGTATTGAAGGTCATGTATTAATCTGGGATCTGAATGAGAGTACAACATCTGCAAAAATCATACATGATGCCGATTGGCTATCTCCTCCTTTGAATGTCGCTTTTTGTGGATTGGAACAATGTAAGTTTGCTGAGAAATTCACCAAATTTAAATTGCTGGAAAGTAACACTTCATTGTTCTAGACTCCAAACATTTTTGTGTCTTGATCGTAGAAAAATGAAGTGCTTTTTTCTTCTTTTCTTTTTTTGAATCAAATCTATATCAAAACCTCATAGGACGAGTAAAGAAGCTTACTTTCATTGCTCTTGTTTTTATGAAACATACATTTTATGTAGTTGTTATAGCTGTTTTTTTTCTGTAATGTATGCTCATTTCATTCCAGTAGCTGTATCATTCCGGGAAAAACTGATTAGAATATATGATTTGGCTACGCTTACATTTTTGATTGAGGAAGGAGCCCAAAGAACGGCCGGAATGCAGGTATATTTTTATTAAATGTCATATCTTCATAAGTTTTTTATTTCAGTTTGAAATTTAAGTCATCTAGAAGGATTCTTCCTTGATATGCTAATTATAGGTTTATTCACGAGAAGGACTTTTCAATGGTATATTTAGTTATCAACAGGATTTTACTCTTAGTGGCACTCACTTAACTTGCGGGACGTGTTACATTGTATTGGGTTCATCAAAAGGGGATTTTTTCGTCGTTCCATTGGCTAATAGGTATGTACTTGTTAAATGTGAAATGCTGGGAAATTTGTATAAGCTTCTTTTGGTCGAAATGAACTCGTAAGTAGTCCTGTTTGGCGCACAAAAAATCTGTTTAAACTTTTCTTCACATATGGAAAACAATGGATTTCTGCTAACCTGTTATTCATCTTTCAAACTTAAATTTCTTTTTTTTTTGAAAATCAGGCATGAAGTACAACTTTGGGATATGTGTATATGCCCAAAGACGGGTGCAATAATATCGGCTGGGGCAGATGGTCGTCTTCAAGTTTCGTTAAATGGCCGTTTGGCTGCTGTTGGATCAGAGAAAGATTTTTTATTTAACGCAAACCGAGTTGTCTTGACGTTGCTGAGGAAGTCTGAAGAAGAACCATTGGTGAAGGTATGTTTGAGGCAGCTTATTTTATGGAATTTGTTCTACTGCTGATATAGAGGATGTTTAGACAAAGGTTTGATTGATGGATTATTTCTTATGCTTTGATTTTATCAGACAATTATTGGAAAATATAAAGAGTATAATTGATCACTGGGATGGTTTTCCTGTTAGCGCTGGAAGAAAAATTGAATTTTGCTGAGTAGAAACTGGTCAAAGTTTTGGATTCGAATTGCTGGTTCTAACTCTTTATATATTGGGAGTATATTAATTCTCAGACAAGAAAAATTTACATTTGAATTTGGTTTGTCAGAAGTGTACGACCCAGCATGTTAACCATTGAATATAATAAACATGGTTATCAAATTAGAAGATTACAACATTTTTTACAACATTCCAATCATTGCATATAAACTTATTTGTCAGGCAGGAAGATAAATGATTCATTGTTTTAGACATAGAAAAAATTTCACTTTTTTTTCTCTTTAATAATGAATCATTTATCTGAGAATATTCTACATAAAACAACCTTATGCTATAAATTTCTATATTATAAATTTGCCTCAGTTATTTCGAGATTTTCATAATACAAAAATACTTCGATTATTCAAACATATTGTTTCTTTTTTTTTCAACAATTTATGGAAAAGTTTTTTTGGAGATACTTCCTTTCAATTACAAATCAAAATCTTTTCCCAGTAAAAAATTTATTGTTTTTATTTGTGAGATGTAGGAGTAGAGAAGGAATGGATGATAGTTTCTTACAGATATCGAGAATTCCATATATTTCGTTATGGAGAATTTTTATTAAAAAATTTTGATTTTGATCAGTGAACTTTGATCACTTTGTCAAGTATGAATGATTTAAACTAATTTTTTCTTTCCTCGAAAGCATTTGTCAGCGATACCAGCTAACCTTAACCAGTCAGCATTATCTTTAATTGTTTTATAACATAACAAAATTACAGACTGTTGAACCAAATGATGGAGACAATACCAATAATAATACCGAATGCGAAAATGAGCCAAGATTTCCTCCACCCCTGACAAATTTACACTTGTGTGCTGAAAAATCGCATCTCGAATTTTGCTTTGAAGATATCAAAGTATGTTTTAATTTATGCTTATTTAATAAAATTTAGGAAAAATAAAGGGGAACAACTCACAAACTGATGAAGTCTTAGTTATAGAATTATGGCCTTGCTAATTAGGGCTTAGAATTTTGGGGTTTTTCCAGGCGTCTCGGTTTATTGGAGATAGAATTAAGGGATTACACCTTTCAATTATTCTAACTCTCTAGAAGAAGAAATAGCATATAATTTCACGCTTGTTTGGCGTCATGAAAGAACTGCTTAATGATTTATACTTTCACTGTTTTTTTTCATAGTTTTTACTTCAATTTCACGAATCCATTTTTATATTTAACTTTTACAATCATTTCTATTATTGAAATTTGTTATAGAAAACAAAAAAGTATTCAGTTTTTGCTTTAATATTTATTAACCGTGCAGTACTAGCCGTTACCTCAAAATATTAATCTAGACACCTTTTCAATTTCTTCAAATCAATTTCTTTTTTTTAGATCGGCAAAACTGCCATACCACAATTTAGCTTAGATCTTCGCACGGAGTCACTTAATCGATTAGCCGTAAGTGAACCATCTGGTCAGTTGGCAATTTGTGGTGGTGAAGCTGGCCTTTTGATCTTTATTCCTTGTTATTTGCGATGATCCAAGATTTTCCTTTTTAAATTTTTTAATTTTGGCAAATAACCTTTAACATTAGTAAGTCGATTTATTTTGCTTCAATCTTTTTATTGTCATTCCTCACTTATAATGCGGGAGTATATAAGTCAAATAGTTTCGTACTTCTTTTGTAATGATCTTGTCATATGTCCTTTATAATACTAAATGATTTTATTAGCTTTCGAAAAAAAGTAGCTTTTTTTCATTGCGCAAATAAACTAATAAGCAAATCTTGCTCTTCACATCAATTTAATTTAATGAAATTGATGAAGTTTTATGAAACTTGAGTTTACATGTGCCTTTTTTTTAAAACGTAGAAATCATTTTTCTTAAGGAGTGAATTTTATAAAAAATAAAAAATGAAAATTGGGGGTTTTTTTTTGCGCGATAAAATTACTCAGTTCGGGATGATAAATTTTAATCAAAAAAAAAAAAGTTGCTATCGATAAAAGCATTTATAATGGAATCTATCCACATTTTATTTAAAAAAAAAAAAAATATTAATACTTCCATAGAAATGAAAAGGAACTGTTTAGCTCAATAACTGAGAAGAAATTCTTTTCGTTTTTTTTTCTTTTCAAAATTGTGATAACTTACTGAAACAGATTACAATGGAATTTGAATCTGAAATGAAAAAAAAAAAAAAAAAGCTTTAACTGACGTTATCAGTCGACATTAAAAATATCTAAGTTTCAGCTGACATTAAAATCTAAATATTAAAAATTCAAATCTTTTTATGAAAATTATTCTACCATCATATAATCAGTATATTTTAACGTTACATTGATTAATCTTACAAGATCTTATATCTTATTGTCTTGTTAAAAGTTTTTTTTTTTCTAAATTGTAGCAAATATGCGAAAATAAATTAGAATTTTATTAATTTCAATGAATTAATTAGAAGATGAATGTTAAATTGTAATTGAGAAACATATTAAACATTAAAAAGAATTAATAAATAAATAATAATATATATGAAATCCAAGAGTTTCTTTGTAACTATATATACAAGTTATTGATTAAATACCTTGAAATGAAAGTAATATTAAAAAGGAAAGAAAGAGTCTTTGAAATATTACTTTTAAATTATAATTTATCAATTAATAAAATAAATTTTTACTCCCTATACTTTTGTCATTTTTCCATAAATGATCATATTTTGATGTTATTTCAATTACAGACTTATGTCTTTTCTAAAAATATATCATGATCTCTAACTCTTTTTTTAAAAAAAAAAAAAAAACAGAAAAAGTTTGTTTAAAAATTTTTTAATTTTTTTTTGTTATATCAAATTTTTGATTTATCCTTTTTCAAAAAAAGAAAAAAATATTAATTCTTTGGTAGAGAAAAAGAAAAAAGTTCACCGATAAAATTGTTATTTTATTTAATGGATTAAATTGATTGAATATATGTATGAATAAATTTGATAAAATTAAAAAAAAATGCCTAATACGTATATTAATTATTAATTAATAATTTCATAATTCAGGAGATAATTATAGGAAAAACGTATATCGATAGGATATTTGCAATTGGAATATACTTAATTACTTGTAATTTGATATATGGAAATATATTGTTTGTTGTAAAAATTTTCCAATTACTCTCTTCATTGATACAATCAGAAATGATAAAACAGTTGACATTAATAATATAATAGATGTGACAATTTTATTCAATTTATTTGATTTGTATTTGCATGTAAAATTAAATTTTTTCTTTTTGATAAATAAATCTTATTTTTCTTTTTTAAATCTTTTTTTTTTTGTTTTGTTCAAATTTTTTGATTTTACTTTTTTTCAAAAAAAATTTTAATTTTTTAAAAGATTAAAAAAAATTAATAATTTTTGGAT